GCTTTTTTTTTAAGAGCAGGTGCAGTAAACAAGTCTCCAAGCTTAGAATTTAACAATAGTTTTTGATCTTTAGCCACGATATGAGTCTCTTGTAAACATATAATATCATTATTAAAATGTCTTAAATAATGAAAAACCTTGCGTCTTTTGTGGGGTGTATTAAGCCCCCCCACATTCCAAGATGAAATTTTAAACATTATCTGATTTCAGTCCTATAGCAATACTTGAAGCATAAGACTTGGCAAAAACCTTAGGTCGAGCGCCACCTACTGGCTCCGAAGTAGCAGGTGGCGAGCTATCAGCTGATGGGCGGGCTGTCAGTTGCTGTTCTTTCTCCTTACGTCTGTGAGCTGCGTGGGTCATTCTTTGTTCTTTTCCATCGTCTTTCAAACGCCCATTTGCATCCTTGGCGCCGGAAATAGAAGGGAGGTCCACAATCAAATGCTCTGCTACATCAGTCTTTTGAACTGTGAGTGGACGCTCTACTTGCAACACAGACGCCATAAAGTCGTTCGCTTTTTTAATCGAGTTAATTCTGTAACGCTTACCAGACACTGTTACAATTATGCCCACCGGTACATCCCATCTGAAAATTATTTGTCTATTTTTAAGTTCCTGCACCAAAAAAGCATAGTCTCGACGCGCTTTAAGTATTTTCGCTGGGATTTCCTTTAAAAGAATAATATCTTGATTTAAAATCTTAAATCTTTGTTGATAAAAAAGCTGCATTATTTCATTTCGTCTCGCTTTTCTTGTGAAATAGACCACCATGTCTCTTGGCAAATTTCTCTGACGGGCCACCCAGGAATTCACCCTGAAGACACGTTCTATTTCATCGTGAATTTCCTGCCCACAAGCCAGGGCATCCATAAATGCTTCTGGAATTATTTCTCTTAAATTCTCTTTTGGATCCTCAGCCAACCCACGGATCCGGATCGCATACTCCATGTCCCGAAATTGAGCAACCAAGACATCACCCTTAACATTTTCCAAACTTTCCTCTACCAGTTCCAGTCTTTGCACACTCTCTTCAGCCCTCTGTTCATTTTCCTCCACTCTTTCTGCCACCGCATCCACATATTCAGCTAAACCTTGAAAAGCAGTTGTCACATTCATACGAAAACCCTCATGTTTCTGTAATAATTCTTGTTGTTGCTGTATTACTTGATCAAACTTATTTTCCATTTTATCATCCATTTTTTGTAACATCACTGTCATTTGCT